TTTTTAATTATTTTGATGTATGGATAGAAGACACATTGTTAGAACAGTTACTCCAAGACAGCATTTTGCTCTACTGAATAAAATGCTTTTTCATAATCTACAACAATAAGAACAGTGGGTTCTTGTATTCTCTACACCTTTCAGTCAATTGTCAGGTGATTTGTGGTAGACTATCACTTGTGAAAGCCATCCTGTTTCCTATTAACATCCTGGTTGAGAGTATCCTCAATTTATGTAACTTTTTTGTGTAAAGGAAAAAGTAGGCAATATAGGTAAAAGGTTGCTGATGTTCTATGGACTCTACATAAAATACATACATAAGGTCTGAGGCCTTTGGTGTTTCTTTCCTTCAGATACATTATGAATCTTCAATGACCTCATAATTCAGTTACCTCTAGCCCAGATATGTACTATATGTACTATTTTCCTTTCCCAACCCTTGTGACACTGATTGTCGGTTGACTAAAAGGAAACACTCCCCTCTCTAACCTCCGCTTCCTTCAGTCTCATATACCTCAACTCTACACCTCCTCATGTCCCCCACTATTGTGCTCTTTGGAGTTCCCATTTCACAAATCTCTTAATTTTCATCTCTTCCTCTCATGTTCCTTCCATTTCCTGGCATTAATAGATAGAATCATAGATCTCGCTGAATGCCATTCTCTATACCACCGACTGTAGCTTCTCTCCTACCTTCTGAAACATTGGTCCTGAAAGTTGGAATACTCCTTGCATCCCACTACCACTTCTAGACTTTTCCTTTGCTGCCATTACTCAACAACCTCTCTTAATTTGAGGTTCATGCTATCCAAATTTCAGGCAGCCAGGTGGCATGGTGGACAGAGCCGTGGGCTTGGAAACAGGAAGACTCATCATAAGTTCAAATCTGGCCTTAGACACTTACTAGCTGTGTGACTCTGGGTAAGTCACTTCACTGTGTTTGCCTCAGTTTCCTCATCTGTAAAATGAGCTGGAGGAGGAAATGGTATACCACTCTAGTATCTTTGCCAAGAAAACCCTGAAATAAGGTCACGAGGAGTCAAACATGACTGAAATGACTCAATAACACTACCACCACCACCAACTATTCAAATTTGTCACCCAATCCATATTCTCATGGCAGTTAACTTTTGGTCTCTCCCTTCTCAAGAAGTTCAGTTCTGGTCTCACAATCTTCCTTTCCATTCCAGCTCCTACCCTTATACTACAGGTCATTAGGATATATGTTGATGTTCCCTTGAACAGTTATCAATTCCCAAATATCCTTAACTCCCATGATCTACTCCAACTCAGTCACATACCAGGGTACTTAGATTTTTTTAATCTTAAAATCTACAGATTTTTCATGTCTGCGGTTACAAACTTTTCTGAAATTCCACTCCTCCTAAACCTATTCTTTGTCATCCACCAGGATCTCTAATTCTTCCACCCCTCAGTATTCTCCCATGTCATACCCCCTGCTTTGGCATAACTCTTCCCTTTCTAGTTTTAACCCTTTGGTTAACCAGTTTAATTCTAAAGTTTCCTTTACTCTTGAATCCCTTGCTCCCCTAATGAGCAAATCACAATCCTGGATTAGTCAAAACATCTTCACTTCTTTCCACTCAAGTGCTACTGATTGAATCCACTACAAATCTATAGCTAACATTTATATAGCACCTACTATGTGCTACATATCCATCATCCTTTTCCATGAGTTTTGTTTTATATTCTAATACTGTGATACCTTTGGCCAACTTCTCTTTCTACTTATCAAATAAGTTTTGTCTAAAAATTATAATTTGTCAGTCATCTCTTAATTTATCAGTCATTTAAAATTTACTTTTAGAATAGTTTAGGATTGAATTGTTTCATTATATGCCATACCTTTTCCTCATTACTACTTTTCTTTCTAGCTTTTGATCTTTGCTTTAACAAGTCAGTGGTCTGACATACTGCAGCTGATTAAGGGGTAATGTTATTCAGTGTTCATGTCCAGTACATACCAATTCTCTTCTTGAATATTCATAATATAAAGGTGTGAGACTTCCATGTAGTCTACAAATTATAAATTTTTGGTTTCTCTCATTCCTTCTTGTGATTTATGTGTTCCAAGGTATTTTTCACTATCCTCAACCATTCCTACCTTTGCCTTGGAGTCACCAACTATCCAAATACTGATTTAACTTGGAGGCTCTTATTGAGTTCTTGGTAGTTTCTCTCCCCTACCCTGGCCCCCCACTATCCTCTGTAAACAATGTTGGTGTATAAGTGGCATTTATTTTTAAGTGGTATTCTTTTTGCAAACCTTATTATGAGCATTCCATACAAAATGATCACATTTCTCAGGAAAGCAGTCGTTGCATTTTGGCAAAACAGAAGACCAACTCTGCCTTTGCTTCAACAACGGGAACCATTTAGTTACAATGCCCTTCTTTCCTCTGGACTTATTTATAGTGAAAAATGTCAAGACAGAAATGACATAATTCAGCTCCTCTCTCAGTATATAAATATATACAATAAATAGTTGTTGTTCAGTCGTGTCTAACTCTTCATGACCCCATTTGGGGTTTTCTTGGCAAAGACACTGGAGTGGTTTGCCATTTCTTTATCCAGCTCATCTTACAGATAAGGAACTGAGGTGAACAAGGCTAAGTAATTTGCACAGGGTCACACAGCTAGTAAGTTTCTAAGGCCAGATTTGAACTCAGAAAGAGTCTTTCTGATTTAAGGTCTGGAACTCTATCTGCTTCACCACCTAGCTGCCCATACAATATATAAGTATACATAAAATATATACAGAGTAAATACAAGGTAATTTCAGCAAGATAGAAGAGAGGTATAAGCAGCTGGAGGAGATAAGGAAAGGTCTCATGAAGGAGATAGCACTTGAGGAAAGCTCTGAAGTAACTGAGGGATTCTAAGAGGCAGAGAGGGAAGGAAAGAGGAACAAACTCTAAGCCTGTGAAAAATTATGAAGACTACTGGTTTTGGTTAGGGGGGAGGGGTAAGATGAGTTCTGTTTTGGGCATGTTGAGTTTGAGATGTTAGACATCCAGTTAGATAGGTCCAAGAGGCAGCTAGTGATACATGACGGGAGCTCAGGACAAGGACCAGGGCTGGATATATAGACCTGGGAGTCATTTGCGGAGTAGTCATTGAACCTGCATGGAGGCAGGGGGTTGACTGAAGCACCTCCCACAAAACTAGCCCCTTTCTGTTGGAAATGCTCTAGTCCATCCCTACTACAAACCCATGGCAGCTAATGAGTTTACCCAAAGAGGAAGGTTAGCTAAAAAAGTCAGAAAAGAGCCTCAGGACACACCAGAAACAACATTCATGTCTCTATGTATATACCAATGTGCAGGTAATAAATGAAATGGAACTCTTAACTTGGAGTAAATATGACCTCATAGGTATCACTGAGACTTAATAGTATGCATTTCAAGGTTGGAATATGAAAATGGTATGTTCTGAAAGCATTGGTCTGACTATGCCATTCCCTTGCTCAAGCTCTAGAAGCTCCCTTCTGCCTCCAGGACAGAACTTTTTGCTTGGTATTTCTAACTTTGAAGGCTTATTGCAAATTACCTCCCCCTTCAATGGAGGGGAATGTTCTACATGGCTTGATTTGTACCCTAGACTATAATTTTAAAGACTTCAATAATAATTTAGGTAAGATTCCATGGCCTGATACTCTAAAAGGAAATCTGTTCTAGAGGGATGGGAAACTCTGATAAAAACAGTTCTATTAACACATTCTGAATTCATTTCAGTAAGGATGAAGAAGGAATAGTGTCTAAAGAGACCCAATGAGGTTATAATGAAATTCATTTTTTAGAAGTATACGTACAAGACCAGAGGGCAGGTAACTGAGAATAAACATAAAAAGTAGCATATTCCTTTAAAAACTTGGAAGCACAAAATAAAGTCTACTATGAATTGAAACTTGAAATAATAAGGCAAACAAAATTACTTTTTTTTTTTAAACCGGTTAGGAGAAAGAAGAAGATCAAGGAAGCACTGGATCCCTACTTGGGATAATGATAAATGATGGACAGAAGGGAGAACTATTTCCTTTCTTATGCCTATTTTCTGTCAAGAAAAAAGATAGACAGAATTATAAAGCTAGGTCAAATATGACACCAAATTGAAACCCAAGATAATTAGGATGAGGGGATAGAGGGAAGATAATGCTGGGATTACATATCAATGTGGAAAGCCCTCCTGACCATCGTCATCAACCCCATCTTGTACACCAATCCAACCCTCTCCCCTTTTAGTTTCCCTTTTGTGTATTGTCTTCCCCCGTTAGAATGTAGGCTTCTTGAGTGCACAGACTGTCTTTTTGCTTGTATTTGTACACAAGCAAACCAGGTACAGTGCCTGGCATGCAGTAAGGCTTAACGAATTGCTTGCTTGCTTCCTTCTGGTATTCAAGTTTATCTCTGCCCCAGTCCACTTGAAAGGCCCTTTCATAGTATGTTCAACGTGCTTCTCTTATCACTGCGATGAACAATGCCACAAAATGTTACTAAAACTCTTATCGCAAACCCCTTGGCCTAACCCTATCTTTCCTTGTAAGGAATATTGTTTTCATATACTTAGAAACAACTTGTAATCCAGCCTAATTGCCATCCATTTATCTTCATTTTACACTATATATAAATATGAAATGGCTCCAAATAAAGCCTATTTGGCTCAGAGGCTTTTCTGTGAACCAAATGGCTGTTCCCTGCCATGACTTGCATGACAATAAAGTTTTTACCTGACCTGTAACCTAAAATTACGACATGCGGGATACTACCTAATTGTATTATCTTGTCCATATTTCTCTATTACATCCAAAGGATAGTTTCAGAGATTTTGTCCATTTCTTTGCTGGAACCTAGGGATATCATAGCTACAGTATTTCTATTGTCTAACAATTTCCAAAAAAGGGAAATGAAGATAATGAAGAAAGAGGGAAGAAAAATACAACATGTCTCGTTGTTGCCAGGTTAACCTCAAAAAAATCACGATGGCTTAAGACAGGAAACTTATTTGGAGGAGGAAATAATTAAAAAAAAAAAAAGGTTAGGGAACTCCTGCTCTAGAACTGGGAAGTTTTTATTTGACCCCCACTCTCACTCGACCCCGACTCTGGGCCAGCAATGAGCGAGAGTCAGAGAAGGGCGCCGGCAGATCATAGCAAAGAGACCTCAGCGGCCATCAGTCCAACCCCTCATTTTACAAATGTGGAAACTGAGGCGCTGGGAGGGAAAGTGAAGGCCTTGGATTCCAACTTCGGAGACCTCTCAAGCTGAGGAGACGGGGCAACAATGAAAGAAACTCGTTTTCGGAGGATCCCCAAAGGAAACCATGCAGTCCCAATTCGATTTCTTCTTCGAGCAGCAGCTGCTTCTCTCTAGAGCTGATTTCATCCGAGCTTCCACTCCCCACGCACGCGCAGACGCTCAGCACGGCCCCCGCCGCAGCTCTTCACCCTCCGGGCTCTGTGTATTCCTCCTCAGCGGCTGCCCGGTCGTTGCCACCGCCTCTGCCGCCGCCGCCGCCGCTGCCACCGTCAAGGAAAGCTTCCGGTGCGACGGAGGTGGTTCCGGTTCGCAGCGGTTCCCGGGTTCTGTGTTCGGCTCCCGGCCGGAAACCCCCTCGCGTGGCGCCCGGTTCCGGTTCGGTGAGTGGCGGCGGGAAGCGGGAGGGGGAGCCAAAGGAAGCCGGGGCCCTTAGGCCGAGCCAGCCTTGGTCCGGACAAACGTGACTGAGGTGGGGCTGGGCGGAGGAGGCAGCGGCTCGGCCCCCCTCCTCCCTCGGGACCTGCCTCTTTCTCACCCCACCTCCCGCTCGGAACCCACCCCCCAGCGTCTCCCCCCGGCAGCCGTTAATCCTTGAGGCCTGTGGGGGGGGGGCGCGTCTCTATCCGCCGTCCTCCCTGGGGAGCACAGCCTGCGCCCCGCGGCTGAGGCCGCCCTCAGCACCCGCGCCTGCGGCAGACTGGGGGGGGGGGGGGTGGGGGCCCGCCCCCGCCCCCCGGGGGGGGCCCCCTTTCCCTGGGGGGGGGGGGGGGGGGGGGGGGTGGGGGGAGAAGGGAATCGAGGCGGCGGGGGGGTGCCAACCGCCTTGGAGCCTGGACGGGAGGCCGCTCAGGAGCATCTCCATGACACCACCCCCTCCCCCACCCCGGTCCATTGATCCCGCCTCTGCACCCTGATCTCGCTCCTCGTTAGCAACCCCCAGCTGTCACCGGAGTCACCACCTCCACGGCCACCGCTCGTGAAGAAGTCCCGACTGTTGGAGTCGGGTTTCCTTTAACTCCCCCCTCCCCTTTGTTTGCTCACCTGGTTCATTCCTCCTGGTTATTTCTCTAGGAGCTGTCACACTCAATCCCTTGAAGTCCCCAAACGTGCGCAGTACTGGAGAGATGCCCAGTTTCTTCTGACTTGAGCAGGAGGATGCCTATTTATTTATCAGTAGCTGTGCAGTGTATTCAGTATCTTCCTTTGCAATAACTTACACCCCTTTTATCACTTCCAAGCCAGCCTTATTGAAGACGCTTTGTACCATATTTGGTGCCGTTTATAAGGACATCAGCTGTCGTGGTCATTTTAAAAATTAGGTACAGAGCCTGGAATTCTATCCTTTCTCATCTACATCTCCTGGCCTCCTTGGCTTCCTTCAAATTCAAGCTAAAATCTTGCTTTCTACAAGAAGACTTTACTGATCCCCCTTATTGCTAGTGTTTTCCCTCTGTTAATTATCTCCAATTTATCCTGTCTTTATCATTGGAATATAGTTATTTCTATGTTGTTTCCCCATTAGACTATGAGCTCCTTGAGAAGTCAAAAGACTTTATTGTATCCGAAGGGCTTAGCACAGTGCCTGGCTCATAGTAGGCACTTAATGCTTGTTAACTAACTGGTGAGCCTTTCAAGGTTGTAAACAGGTTAGTTGGTTGAAGGACCATGATCACAGGTTGAATGGATTCTAGAACTTTTCATCTCTTAAATATTTGTAGCACATAAGAACTTTGAAATATAAATCATAGCAAGTTGAGAAATTGTATTTATAGTGAAACTTGAAGCATGTCTTTAAGCATGCTCTGGGCCTGCTCCCTTTTTTTTTCTCTCCTTGACACCTCTTGCTGTTCTACTCTTTGGGATGGGGAGAAATGATGGTAAATTCTATTCTGAAATCCTGAGGCCATTCCTTTCATTGCCTTCAACTAATTGCAAAACAGGTCTTGCTACTACCCATTTGATGAGATCTAAATCTTATGGTGGTGGTGGGAATGGAAATTAAAACATGTTCTACTGCTTCTTATTTTAGGTAATAGAACTGCTGGATATTGCTTTAAAGCTTAAAGCCTTCAGCTCTTTCTGCCCTTCCTTCATCCTGGCCTTTATTTGGAAGTAGCAATAATGTTGTTATTCTTTTGTTACATATCCTTTTCTTATGCTTTAGGAATCTAGAGACAGTAATAACATGTTTGAAACAGCTTTCCTCCTCTCTTCATCACCTTGATCCCCAACATTGAAGAGGTAAAATGTCATCCCAGATTTCATAGGCAACTTGCATTCAACATGTACAAAATTGAGTATTAGAATTAATTATTTGTGATATGTTTGGTAAAATTTGCATGTAAATCTATCTGGTCCTGGGATTTTTTTCTCATTTATGGCTTGTTTAATTTCTTTTTTTAAAGATAGGGTTATTTAAGTATTCTATTTCCTGAATGTACACAGAATGGAACTCATTGCTTTTCTCCCTCAGTCTGACCTTCTCCAGACTTAGCTGTTTCTGTTGAGAACACCATTAACATTACAATCACGAAGATTCATAACTTCAGAATCATCTTTGGTTTTACTCTCTCCTTCATATCCTATATCTAATCAGTTGCCAGATTTTCTTAATTCTTCCTGTACAACATTTTTTATCTGTTTCCTTCTCTTCACTCATATTGACTACCAGTCTAGTTTAGGCTCTTGTTGTTCAGTCATGTTTGATTCTTCCTGACAGTATGGTCCACGAGGTTTTTCATGGCAAAGATAATGGAGTGGTTTACCTTTTCCTTTTCTAGTGGATTAAGGCAAATAGAGGTTAAGTAACATGCCCACGGTCACACAACTAGTCACATAACATTCACTGAGCCACGTAGCTGCTTCCTAGGCAAACAGAGGTTAAGTGACTTGCCTAGGGTCACACAGCTAGTAAGTGTCTGAGGCTAAATTAGAACTCAGGTCTTCCTGACTCCAGGCTTCCTGCTCCATGGAGCCATCCAGCTGCCCCCAGTTTAGGGCCCTACTCATCTCTCATCTGGAGGATTTCAGTAGCCTTCTAAATGGTCTCCTTGCTTCCAGATTCTCTCCTATTCAATCCATGTTCTACACAGCTGCTAAAATGTTCTTCCTTAAGTGTAGACACGACCATGTCACTCTCTCATGCAAGAAGCTTCGTTGGCCATCTGTTGCCTCTATAGTAATGGGAAAATATTTTAGCCTGGCATTTTGAAGCCCTTCACAGTCTTGCTTCAGCTAATCTTTCCAAACTTATTTCACATTATCTCTGATTTACTCACCTTACATTTCAGTCAGGCTGGCCTACTTGTTATTCCTTGAACTTGGCATTCCAACCCCTACTCCTCTGTCTTTGACTTTGTCCTGTTTGGAGTGCCCTCTTTCTGCCTCCTTCTTAGAATCCTTAGTTTCCTTCAAAGTTTTTGTGTGAAGCCTTTGTGGATCTCCCACTTATTAGAACTCTAACCTTCTGCATGTAATATCTCCTAGTAGCATATGAGTTCCTTGAGTAAATATTTTTTGTTTTGACTTTTCTAACTTAGAGTAACTACTGCTGGATCTTATAGAACGGGAACTATACCCTGACAGTCCTGGGGAACACTGTCATCTAACTAGGAGGATCAGGTTCCTTGTTCTCACGTTCTTTGGCTCTTTAATAAACTCCCTCCCAGTGGTTGGTTTCCCAGAGACAGTTTTATTTATGGTTTGGTTTATAGCTAATGTCTGAGTCTCCTTAAATTGAAGAGTAAAGAAATACTCAATATACGATATGAATCTAATTTGGGACAGGTAGTTTTATTCCTATACACAGAGAAAGGCTAAATATAGAACCACAGAAAGCACTGTAAAACAATTTAAACAGAATTCAGTGACATAACTGTGGGTTACGATCTGCTGGGATGCTGATAGTTAATCCTTATTAAAACAGGAAATGCTGCTTATTAGCTATTTTACATTTTACCTTGGCTTAGTCCAGTCACCTTTACTGGTTAAACAGGTCAGGCTCTGCCCTGCTTCTACTGGTGGCTGTTCTCTCTAAGAGCACTAGAGTAGTTACTAAGAACTCCTCCCCTGATACCAGCCTGATCCTGCTGCAACCACAACCAACCATTCCAGGATATCCAGTTTGCAATGTCCAATAGGCAGTTGGTGATTCAGTTTGAAGTTCAGGGGAGGGTCTGGGGCTGGATATATAAATCATGAGTCATAAGTATAAAGATAATAATTAAATCCGTGGGAGCTGATGAAGTCACCAAGCGAAAGTATAGAGTAGGGACTATGACAGAGTCTTGGGGAACATATGCAGTTAAGGTGCATTGAATGATGATAGATCCACAAAGGAGGCTGTTAAGGAGTGGTTAAGCAGGAAGAGAGCCAGGAGAGAGCAGTGTCATGAAAGCCCTTCACTGTGCTTTTGAATGAGTATCTAGAAACAGGGTGGTCAGCAGTGTTAAAGGTAGCAGGTAGGTCAAGAAGCATGAGGATTGAAATAAGACCATATAATTTAGCAATTAAGAGATGATTAGCAACTTTGGAAAGTAGTTTCAATTGAGTGGTGAGTTCAGAAGTCGGATTGTAGTTGGTTGAGAAGGAAAGGGGTGGAGACAGCAAGTGTAGTTAGCTTTTTCTGGAAGTATGGCTGAGAAAGGGAGAGACATGTAATTATGAACTCTTGAGAGGATGGTAGGGTATGGTTTTTTGAAAGATTAGGGACACTTGGACACATATGAAGACAATAGGGAAGGAACTAGTAATTAGGTCAAGGATTAGAAAATGAAGAGATAACTGAGATTGACATCTGCTGGAGAAGACGAGAAGGGATAGGATCAAAGGCACACATAGAAGGGTTGGCTTCACCAAGGAGGAGGGCTACCTCAATATCAGATACTGGGGGAAAGGAGAGAGTGGAAATGGCTGTCTTCTTATTAATACATTTCCTCATAATTTTTCAGTGTCACCATCTTGATAACTAACTACTAAATAGCATTCTTCACAACCACCCTTCCCATTATATGTGTATATATTGTGCTTCTCCCCCCTACACATTCTGGTTACTTTATATGTATGCAACTTATTGCTTTTTTCCTCTTTTTCTTCGGCAGTATAAACATACCAGGATACTTGTCATACATATTCAAGAAGAAAGTTAAAGGGTTCCTTTATGTGAGTGAGTTATCAGTCATTCTTCTAAAAGGAAACTACTTCATATTTGTAAAATAAGGAGAAAGAATCACAGAGACTTAGAATGTCTGAACTAGAAATGACTTTAGATGCTACCTTGTTCAATTTCTACATTATATAGATAAGAAAACTGGATTTTGCAGAGGCTAAATTACTTTTTCAAAGTTGCATAGTAGTATGAGGTTGATAAGGCATTTGGATT